CCCCCTCTGCGGAGCCGTGTTTTGCAAGTGCAGCCATTCTGTAGAGCAGTTACTTTGCTGCATCCCTAATCACTGAGGATTTAACAGCAGAGGCAGAGGCTAAAATTTATCACACTCAGAATAAAAGATTCGTGTCACCCATGAGAAGAGCCACTTTAAAAATTCATAAAGAGTGGTTTATTTGAACTCTTAACTTCTATGTAAATGTCCATAAATCAACCAAACAATTTTGAATAGTCTAGGAAGATGAATCATAAAATACTGGTCCCTAACTCATTAGCATTTCAATTAGCTACATAACTAGCCTATGCATCCACAAGGAAACAGTCCCAATTATTTTTATTTAATCTATATAAAATATATCTCCCATTAATACAGTGGAGTTTTGTTAAATCAAGGTTCTGGGTAAAAATGTATTACAAGTCCATTCTGTTATATATCCTATTTTATTCAATTTTAAGCCACTGATTTTTTGTACAAAGAATTGTGAGAAGAAATTATTTGCCTTCCTGCTCACTGTAATAGAATATTATTTATATGAATAGGAGTCACGAGTGTTGTATGCTTATTTTAAGACATATTTTATTTTAGGAATAGCAGGAATATTCTTCTGTGAAAGACAAATAATATCTGCTGCAAGTACCTAAACTTGGGAATGGCAGTTTAGATTTTAATAAAGCAGCCTTTCTAACAGTAGTCGCTGAAGCTCAACAGTTAATGAAGCACAACAGAATCAAAGTATTTTACGCTGTATTACAAAAGTCTTTTCCCTCTATATTGCTCAGTTTTCACCCAGCTCTTGCGACATCAACATTTCATTGTTTTTCCAGTAAGTCTTCCAGCGTATATGGGAATTTTGTTTCTTTTTGTCTTACAAAACTTTTCAAAACAACAGACAAAAACTTTTTCAGGCTATAGTTCCAGACAGTATTAAAAAGCGAGCAAGGAACAGAACCAATTTTCTGTCTTTTGCAGATGACCTTTCACACAAAAAGTGTATGCCTGTATTGCGGCTCTTGGTGGTTTCAAGAGCCTGCGGATGCAAAGTGTCAACATGGTTGACATGATGAATATTTTCAATATTAGTTTTGGAAGAACTGGAGCATGAAGAATGCTTAAAGAAGGCTGGTTAGACGGTCTCACGAGACTGAAATACCCATTACAATGCACTGCAGGTATTACAACTCATTTAGGTAGCCAGAACATGTATGTGAACTTCATACCTTTAGCTAGTGTCTATAGACAAAAAGAAGAAAATAACAACGTTTCTCAGCTGATTTATTAAACACAAGGTAAAAGTTTTGCGTCCTTAATTTTGCATCTTTAATAATATCATCTAAAGTTAAAATGCCACTGCAACACCTGACTCGCATGTTTTCACTGAAAGAAATGCCACTAGCAGCAGGCTGGCCTCTTGGTGGAGAAACGTCAGCAATGTGCAGTGTGGTTCTACTCGTGCGTAGTGCAGACCACTCTGTACACACAGAAACACGGAACAGAACTCGCCAAACAATGTGCCAGGCAATCCATTTTCTTACAAGTTTCAGTGTGGTGCACTGTTTCCTCAGAAACATTCTGTCTTCAGAAGAGATGCTATCAGAGCCCAAAAGGGAGCTTGAGCTCTTGGGCTCTGCTCGTGCAGCTTCTTCTCTTCCACAGCTGACTCTTTGCATAATCCAAAATTAACAACTCGGAATATCTTTCCAAGAATCAAAATTTGATCATGAACCAAGGAAAAAAAAGTCGATGTGTAACAGGAACATCTATCAATATGTGCTCTAACAGTATTTTTCCCTGCTTAACATATTCTTGTGGG